TAGCTAAAACAGGATATGAGGACTTAATGTTAATGGAGGATTTTATAAATAAGTAAATGAAATGCCAGCATGTGGGTATGGTTTGAATCTTGGTATACTTAAGGATGAAGAATGTTTAAATAACTGTAGTCAAATAAAAGTGGAGGTATGTTAATATAGTAAATTTTTGAGTTAAGGTATTTGAATTAATATGAATTATATTTGATGACGGTGGAAGAGAAACACAAAAGCTTTTTGTAACCAGCTGATATACTTTTTACAATATATGTTTATTTTGAAAATAAATAAAAAAACTAAAAAAAACTAAAAAAAACTTTGAGATTGCCACTAGGGATTGGTCAAAATAGAGATTTGCCTATATGATAATCAGAGTCAGATTTGATTTAATGATGTCATATAAGTAGATTGTATCTAGTACAAAACAGAAAACACATTTGTCAATACGTTAAATTTATCTGTAAGTTAGTTACCTTATAATACTTTGTATTTTAAATACTATTTTAGTCAAAGATGTGTATTAATTCTTACTTGAGTTTCCTATATGTTATGTATAACACATATTATTTATATTATATATAAATCATGTATTTGTGAGCACTGGAAAATATACTCATATTTTCTATACACAAAGCAATTCCCACTATTGAATTTTACAAAAAAGCTCCAAATACAGGTAGTCCTGGACATACAACTGAAGAGGAGCCTGCCTTTACAGTCACATGTGGCAACAGCCATTGAGATGGTCTTATCCCCCACCCTGTTCTCCCTGATGCAGCTGTTAAACGAGTGCATGGGGCGTTAATACAGTGTGAGTACAGGGTGCCTTATAAGGTGAGGGAATCCCTGGAAGGTCCAGTGCAGGCCATGCACAAGTTATGGGGGTGCTACAGCATGGAGTGAGTGCAGCAAGACCAGGGAAAGGAGCTATAGCCTCGCCTAGGAGCAAGCAAAAGGCACCTCGCTAGGAAGTATAAATTTCTACAGTGGAGCATGAAGCAGCCTCACAGTTGGGCACAAAGAAACTGCCCTGCGGGAAACTCCAAAAGTGTGAAGCAGCCACCCCTCCCTATGAAGCCACAAACACATGGCCCGCTCTACCTGGCTGGGGTCTGCCCTGTGCCAATTGATCTTCCCCATTTTCTTCCTTCCAAAAGGATGCCCAGTCTGGCCTTTTAGGAAGTCAAAGAAAAATGCTAAAGCCAGCCACTCAGCTGTAGCATCCTAAATGGCACCTTTTCCCATGTTCCCATGTAGGGGTTTCTTAGAGGTGGGGGGGGGGGGAAGCTGCCTTCATTTTTCCAAGGCTCTGGAAAGAGAGTATGGCCTCTGAAGGCTGTGCAGAGCAGCCCCAATTCCTAAAGCAAATGTTAAGCATGTTTTCTTCTCTGCAAACCAGGGGTGGGTTGCTGTCAGTTTTACTACCGGTTCGCAACCCCCGCATGCACCAGACATGCACGTGCATGCGCGTAGAACAATTTACAGTGAACTGCGTACACATAGTCACTAAAATTCAACATGGCAGCGACATCAGTGGCTGCGAGGGAACCGGTTCAGGGGCATGTCAGGCCTGGGTCGCTGCCGGTTCTGCGACCCAGGCCTGAATTCCACTACTGGTCCTCGCTCTTTATTTCCTCATGGTTTTTCGTTTCAAAATTCTAAAAACATTCTTCCACAATACCATAAATCAGCTACTATTCACCTATCAGATTTCCACTTCTCCTGTACATAATTTCCCTAATTTATACACTAGTTATACACCCATTACTATTTGAAATTAGATAATTTTAATAAATTAGATATTATAATATATTGTTAATATAATAGTATTGTATTCACTCACAAGCTTATAATCATATATTTATATATTACATGCTCTTATACCTAAGACAATAGACAAAGACAGCAGTATCAATGATATAATCTAGAAATGTCTGGATATTGATATGGATAATAATCTAAATCTAATTACACCTTACAGATCTAAAATTATATTACAGATCTAAAATTATAAAGATTGCATTTTCTATAAAAATTATAAAGTTAAGTATTGGTTATTTGATAAGTTATAAATTCATATGCTCATATACAGTGAATTTGTAAATATATATAAAATGCTATATAATATTCTCTTCTAAATTGATTCTTTATAGCAATGTAAATATATATAGGGTTCTAGATGTAATTTTTATATATACATACAGTACTGTGCAAAAGTTGTAGGCAGGTGTGAAAAAATGCTGTAAACAAAGAATGCTTTCAGAAATATAAATAATGATTGTTTATTTTTGTCAATTGTCAAAATGCAAAGTGAGTGAACAAAAGAAAAATTAAATCAAATCAATATTTGGTGT